GGGTGTCATAAGCAGAGTAACCAGAGGCAGAGCAGATTAGATACAATTTTGGGATAAACATAAAATGGCTCTACCTGCAATTAGCCTGGCTGCTGCTGATTATATATAATCGAACATTTTAGTATTTTTAAAGACTTAAAAGTCTTTTAAAATGCATTACTATTAACAAATTTTTATAACTGTAAGAATAATAGGTGAACACAGTAAAATATTAAAACTGTATCAAAGGGTATGTATTTAAAAGGCATTTAACTGTTTCCCATCCTAGAAGCCCTGCTCACAAGTTTCTGCTGTCTTATCCTAGAAACACATTCTATACTTTTTTTTTTTAAACACAAAAGAGAACATATTTAACAAAGTGTTCTCTACATTGTTTTTCTTCTTAACTTAGAACATCTTGGTTTCATTCCATATCAGCAAACATAGATCTTCCTTACACTTTTTAACAGATGCCTATTTGTCCATTGAATGAATGTACTATAATTTATTTATCTAATATCCAGTTGATAGACAGCTAGTTGTTTCCAATTATTTTTGTCATTGTGCAAAAGATTTTATTATATCTTTTGTGACAAGCTTTTCTTTCCATAGTATTATGGGTGAATTGTGTTCCTCCCAAATTCATATGTTGAAGCCCTAATCCTCAGTATGTCGGAACGTGACTGTATTTGGAGACAGGGCCTTTAAAGATGTGATTAAGTTAAAATGAAGTGGTTAGGGTGGGCCCTAATGCAATCTTCCTGGTGTCCTTATTTGAGAAGGAGATTAGGACATAGACACCAGACATACACAAGCACAGAGCAAAGGCCATGTGAGGACACTGTGAGAAGGTGGCCATTTGCAAGCCAAGGAGAGAGGACTTAGAAGAAATCAAACCTGCTAACACCTCAGTGTTGGACTTCCAGAACTGCAAGAGGAGAAATTTCTGTTGCTTAAGTCTGTGATATTTTGTTATGACAGCCCCAGCAAACGAATACACACAGGCACTCATCTGTATATAGTGAAAACCAATGGGGAAATAGAATTCACTACTTAAGTTTAAAGAAAGAAAGTAAAAGTTTGGGGCAAAATGCAGGCTTATGTATATTTCATTTTCTGAGGTCCATGTGCATATAAAGTATCTGAAAGGAAAATGAAAAAAAAAACCCCAAAAAACCAAAACAAACCGTAGCATCTGGCCTCACATTCCAACTCAGTGGCTATCTTTTCTTTTAATAATGCCATCATCCCTGCTAAGAGCTTTTCTCCTAAATCAACCTGCAGCAATTGTTGATTGGCTAATTTGACTGACAGTAAGCATCAGCTCTGGTACTGAGTTAGGACTGGGATTCCAGCTGTTGGGGATAGCAACAACTTTTCATTGCTTGCTTTCACAAGTAACCCGCTGCAGGGTAAAGTGCTGTGTCACATACTCAGCTAAATGGAATTAAATATAAATGCCTTAGAACTGACTTTCCCTGACCAGTAACCCTCTCCAGGGCCCTCAAAACCAGGGTTGGAAAATACCAGTGAAGAGGCCTCATGTCATCATACATTTAGGTCACCAGGGAATGATTTGGCATTTTCTTCCCCTGTAGCATGCTGTTTTCAGAGAGAATGAGAGAAGGAAAGAACGAATTACCAATCCACCAGGCACTATACACTTTGGAATTTCACTGCTCTGTTCATATGCCTTCTCTAGTTTCCTTGTTACCCACAGCTAGATGGTTTATTAGAATTCCTTCGCTTTCATTTACCAGAAGAAATCATAAAGGCATGATTAAACCGACAACCTTAGCCTTAATAACAGTTCCTGATCTGATGTAGTTGTAGGAATCCATAAAAACGATACTACACTGATCAATGTCTTCTTTTTTGGGGCAAAAGTTTAATGTAAATCAATCATTTATTCTGGATATATCAGGTGATTAATTATTATCTTACTCAGCATATGGAGCAAATGTTAATAACTTCTTCTGAAGGGAAGAATGACCCACAGGACTTATTTTTTTATATTACTTTATTTCTTTCATTTTGTCATCTTAAATTCCCTGAAATGGCCAGTCCAACGTGGCCGTAGTTTAGCTAACTACACAGCTTCAAATTCTAGGTTACAGTGAAACTGTGGGTGGATGGACTTTTTTGTTGTTAAACACATATTTAATGTGCTTGGTTCTAGGGGTACACTGGTGAACAACAGACACAAACAGGTATTGGGAAATAAAACATGGTGTATTAAAAGCTAGTTACAATGAGGAAATCACAGAATGCCATGAACTTCCCTCATTCCTTCTTTATTCAACTATTGAGTACTAAGTGTATGTAAGATAGGCATTGTTCTAAGTGCTGAGGATAAAACTATGTGCATATTCTCATGGAACTCATTGCTCTATATAACTGGTTGACCTGAGGTCTGGGTCTACATTCCAAGATAGCTAGAGTGACAGATCAGAATGAAATAAAGAAATAGATGGAAAATAAGAAAATGTCTTCTGGGGGGTATTAAAAAATATAAAGGCAAAACCATAGTGAATGAGTAGAGTTTTAAAAGAAAGGAGAAGGGGAGAGGATGGGAGAAAATGAGAGAGATATCAAGGACCTTATCTATATTCTATTACTTAGGTGCTATTCCTGTTTCTAGGACAGACTCTGTATAAACCGTCATCTCTGTATCCCACACAACTAACAGGGTGCCTGGGACGGTGTTATTGGACCTAGATTTATATGTCCGGATTACTCGCTAATTTGTGGGATGCTAGGTAATTACCAGAATGCCTTCAATACTTAGTTTCCTACAGTACTACCTCACAGATTTGTTTTATTTAATAATGATAGCTTACAGACAGTACTTACTATGTGCTAGGTACTATTATAAACAATTCAAATGTATGAACTCTCTTAATTCTCATAACAATCCTATGAGGTAGGTATTTGTCTTAGTCAGCTCAGACTGTTATAAAAAAATACCACAGATTGGGTGGCTTATAAACAGCTGACATTTGTCCTGGTCCTAGAGGTTGGAAGTCCAAGATCAGGGTGTCAGCTCAGACTGTTATAAAAAAATACCATAGGCCTTCCCACGTGGCGCAGTGGTTGAGAATCTGCCTGCCAATGCAGGGGACACGGGTTCGATCCCTGGTCCGGGAAGATCCCACATGCCGCGGAGTAACTGGGCCCGTGCGCCACAACTGTTGAGCCTGTGCTCTGGAGCCCGTGAGGCACAGCTGCTGAGCCTGCGTGCCGCAGCTGCTGGGGCCCGCGCGCCTAGTGCCCGTGCTCCACAAAGAGAGAAGCCACCGCAATGAGAAGCCCGCGCACCACAACGAAGAGTAGCCCCTGCTCGCCACAACTAGAGAAAGCCCACGCACAGAGGCAAGGACCCAACGCAGCCGAAAATAAATTTAAAAAAAAAATACATAGATTGGGTGGCTTATAAACAGCTGAAGTTTGTTTGTCCTGGTCCTAGAGGTTGGAAGTCCAAGATCAGGGTGTCAGCATGGTGAGGGCCAGACTGCTGATTTCTCCCTGTGTTCTCACCTGGGGAAGAGCAGAGAAGGGAAGCAAGCTCTCTAGGGGACTCATTATTAGGGTTTTACCTTCATGACGTCATCTAATCCTATTATCTCCCAAAGGTCCACCTCCTAATAACGCATGAGGGGTAGGGTTTCAACATTTGAATTTGAGGCAGGCACAAGCACTGAGTTCATGGCTGTATTAACCCCATTTTATATACGAGGAAACTGAGGCACAGAGAAGTCACGGTAGCTTGCTCAAGGTCATACATGTAGTATATGGCAAACGAGGAATCCAACTTCATCTCCAATCTGTGCTTTTAAACACTGCTCATATTGCCTCTCAATAAATGGCACATAGTAAGATTAGAGACAAACAAATGCATTCTTCTAAAAAAGTTCTTTCTTACAACCTTCTACTCCATCATTTATTGAATATTTATCAAGCCCTTATATTGTCCTGGAACTGTGACAGACAATACAGATACAAGGGGTGAAGAGAACATCCGGTTCTTGCTCTCCTGGAGTTTATTGTCATTAAGCAAATAACATAACCCTTCCCAGGTTCTCAGCCTTCCCTGTTTTCTCCCATTTCTCTGTGTCTATTAATCCTCCAGCCAGCCAGTCCAGGGTTGATCTGGATGAGAGAAGCCCGTAATAGGGTCTTCCTAGGTCTCCTGGAGGGCTGGGGCCGGGATGAGGTGACCTGTCGGGAAGAGCCACACTGACCTTTTTCTTGGCAGTGACCTGGTTTGTCTCCTTTCTCTCTGAGCCTCGGGTTAAAATGGAGGGATGTGCCTCGAACTTCCTTTCCGCAATAACTTTCTCTCATTATTTACCCTCCTGCCCAGCACCCAAGGCCTTTCTGACATCCCTGACCTTGCGTCCCTGTGCTTGAGGTGCATTCCTACCTCCTTGATCCCCAGCAGACATTTTCCCTCCTTGAAGTCTCCAGAATTCCACGCGGCCCGTCCCTGTCGCCCGCCCCGGAGGAGATGCGTGGTCCCCGCCCAGCCTCCAGACCCAGGCTCCAAGCCCGCCGCGAGCCCACGGGCCGCCATTGTCCGGTCCTGTCCCACGTCCCCGTTTTCCTCATGGGGCCCAAGTTTTGGGAGCCCCCAGTCCTGGTTCCCCCAATCGCTGGGACCTCTGACCAGCGGGCAGGGAGGTCGGTGCTCGGGCCGGCGGCCGGGCCGGCATCGGCATGGGCAGGGAGGCGAAGGGCGGCTCAGGAGGGCCGGGGCGCGCACAGCGCAGTCGCCCAGGCGGACCGGGCGGTCGGGCCGACCGCGGCCATTGTACTCGGTTGCCTCGGCCTCAAGACCTGGTGGGCATAGAGGCAAAAGGCGCTGACAGCACCCTAAAACGACACCCCCTCCTCTCAGATCATGTGTTTTGTGTTGCGAAACATAACAGACAAACAGGGAAACGACTTGGTTTCTTTTTCTGGCGCAGAAGGAGGACGAGCAACGTGAGTTGAGCGGAGAGGTGAAAGCGCGAGCCTCCGCCGCGCGCCCAGTCACGTGGTGCCGTAGGGCCCGCATGGCGGCGACCCGCGCGCCCCCGCGTCCCGGCCGGCCCGGCAGCCCGGGCGCGCGCTCCGACGGGGCGGGCGCATGCGCAGGGGGGGGGCGCCGCCTCTGCCCCGCGGCGAGGGTGTCTATGGAGAGGCGGCGGCCGCGCCTGCTGAGGCGGAGGCTGAGGTGGTGGCGATGGCGCCCTTCCCCGAAGAAGTGGACGTCTTCACCGCCCCACACTGGCGGATGAAGCAGCTGGTGGGGCTCTACTGCGACAAGGTAACGGTGTGCGGGGCCTCTGGCTCTGGGCGGCGCGGGCGGAGGGGAGGAGCGGGCCGGATCCCTGGGCGGCCGGGCCTGCGCGGCGCCCTCAGCCCCCGGGGGCCGCGCCGGGCGAATTGTAACCTGCGCAGCTGTCAGCGCCGTGCTCGCTGCCCCGCACCTTCCGCGGGGAGCCCACGCCCCGCCCGGCTGGCGGCCTCGGACGTGCCCTCGGAGCTCGCGGCGCGGCCCCTTCCCGGCCGAGGGCCTGGCCACCCGCCGCCCTCGGGGCGGGCTCCCCGCGGCCGCGCCGGGCCTCCCGCCCCTGCCCCCTGAGGGAGTGGGGCCCCTGCGCCCCTACCGATCTCTGGGGACCCCGGGCCGGCTACCTGCGGTGGCTTCCTCTCCCCCTGGCGCAAGCTGTTTCTGTAGTTGTCTGCCACCTCCCCCATCAATACTGCCCCCCCGCCCTACCCCCGGCCTGTGTTGGGCCTCCCCGATTCTCCTTACGAACACCCATCCATTCTTCTGAACCTCTGGCCCGCTTTCTGGCCCAACGAGCACCTTCTCCCAACTCCTCCCTGCTCATTTTACGCCCCAGCTTTTCTCTGGTTTGATTTGGGAGAAAACTCAGGTTTCGTGGCTTACGAACCAGAGAACCTTCTCTCTTCTTTTGTGGTCATCTTTTTCCTTGCAACTTTTATTGTCCGGAGCGTTTACTAGATGTCGATTTTGTTATAAGACAGCTATTCTCTGTTGGAATTCTTTACGTGGGCTCGAATAAAAGGGCTTCGGAACAAGTTGATTTAACTGCGAGAACCTTTTTGCACTCTTAATTGGTGCAGCATAAGCTGAAAAAGCACTTTTGTGGAGATAGTTCAGGGCTGTTTGCTAATGCTTTTTGAGTCCACGTTTTTGTCAAAAATTTATGTTGGGTAGAGTCCACATACGGATATTCTGAGAACTTCAGGCAATCCTGCTTCATGTAGAAATGAACCAAACAAAAAGCATTTAAAGACCTATTGCTTAAGCATGGATATCAACTTTGATGAACTTTCAGAAATTACATAGCACTAAGCAGAACCGCTGTTGCGAGAAAAGAGGTGTTCTTATAGCCCATGAGGTGGTTGGAGGATGCCCCGTGTTCAGTGCCAGGCCACACTTAAAAAGCATCCACAACCATCTTTTCCCTCCCTCCATTTTGAAAATTAACAATACCCGATTCAGATACAGGTTTAAATACCACGGCAGTCTAGGACAGTGGTTCTCAACCTTGTTTGCTCAGTAGAATCACCCTAAAGCTGTTAAAAATGCTGATGCTCAAGTCACTAAAATCAGCATCTCTGAGGCTGGGACCCAGGCATCAAGTATAATTTAGAGCTCTCCAGGTGAGTCCAGTGTGAAGCCAAGGGTGAGAACACTTATCCAGGAAAAACATAATGAATGGGTAAGCCGTTAGTTAAGCTGTGTAACTCTGGAATTAAAAAATATATATATTTGTTTAATTTATTTAGTTTTGGCTGCACTGGGTCTTTTTGCTGCACGCGGGCTTTTTCTGGTTGCCACAAGCGGGGGCTACTCTGTTGCAGCGGCCGGGCTTCTCATTGCGGTGGCTTCTTGTCACGGAGCATGGGCTCTAGGTGCGTGGGCTTCAGTAGTTGTAGCACGCGGGTTCAGTAGTTGTGGCTCGCAGACTCTAGAGTGCAGGCTCAGTAGTTGTGGCGCATGGACCCAGCTGCTCCGCGACATGTGGGATCCTCCCTGACCAGGGCTCGAACCTGTGTACCCTGCATTGGTGGACAGATTCCTAACCACTGTGCCACCAGGGAAGCCCTAGATTTTTGAGTTAGCTTACTGTAGTGTTTTTACCTGCTCTGGCTTTTGAACTTAGTTATTCTGACGGTATCCTTTAATTGCAGGAAAGAAAAAAATGGGGAGGTTTTTTTACTTTCTCAGAACCAAAAAGGGAAAGTTAATGAGGAATAATAGAATTTGAGGTCTTCTCTCTAGACTGGGGAGAGGTGGTCCAGGACCACCTGAAATTGTTATGGAAATTTTGGTGCATGTGTACATTTTTCTAGGAGGTTTGTGGCTTTCATCAGGTTTCCAAATGATTGTGACCCTCCCAAAATGGTTAAGAATCACAACTTTAGCTACGTGCTAGACTAACCAGCGTATTTAAAAAATTGAAGAAGTCAGTCACTAATGTTGTGTGTCATTACCTGGTGATTGAGAATGTTAGAACAAATTTTGAAAATACAGTGCCCTTTTTAAAAACAATATTTGAGTCAAATAAGATTCTTTTTGGTAGTTAAATGTCCCCTTTTGAAATAACTAGGAAAGCATTTTCAATTTGACATAGCAGAAGTTAAAATTATCACTAATTTTGAGTTAATTAGATGTAGTTAATGAGATTGTTGTATAAATTCATCAGGAAGATTAAAAATTCCAATTTTCTGAAGTGTGGATCAGAGACCAAGGTGATTTAGGGGAAAAAAAACTGCGTAGGAATTATACATCCGGATTCCTTCTTGATACTGATAGTTAATTGGAATCTCTCCTAGGATGTCCTTTGGGAGCTAAAGGGGAAAAATGTATTTTATAATGGCTAAATTGTCTTAAAGGAGTATATGTTTTTATTCATTTGGCATCTCAACTTTTTTTAAAAATTATTTTATTTTTATTTTATTTATTTTTGGCTGCGTTGGGTCTTCATTGCTGCACGTGGGCTTTCTCTAGTTGCCACGAGCAGGGGCTACTCTTCGTTGTGGTGCGCAGACTTCTCATTGCAGTGGCTTCTCTCGTTGTGGACCATGGGCTCTAGGCATGTGGGCTTCAATAGTTGTGGCATGCGGGCTCAGTAGTTGTGGCTCGCAGGCTCTAGAGCGCAGGCTCAGTAGTTGTGGTGCATGGGCTTAGTTGCTCCACTGCATGTGGGATCTTCCTGGACCAGGGCTTGAACCCGTGTCCCCTGCATTGGCAGGCGGATTCTTAACCACTGCACCACCAGGGAAGCCCTCAACTTTTGCCTTTACCATGTTTTGCCTGTACAGACCACGGGTATCCAGCCCAAACAGCATATAGTAAAACTTTACAAAATGAGAACTAGCTTTTATACTTAAACGAAAAAGATACAAAATATGTTATTTCATCGTATACTATATGTTGACTCTGAATGCCCAGTAATTATAAAGAAGTCAGTTTTATTTTGAATATTGACTTTTCAAGTACAATATATTTTAGAAGCATACATTTATTTATTAGCAACAACAATTATTTACGTGCTTAGACTAGTTTATTTAGAATAATTCTGAAGTTGTGGGCCATTTTTTTTTAAAGAAGATGTTGGGAGTAGGAGTTTATTAATTAATTTATTTATTTTTGCTGTGTTGGGTCTTCGTTTCTGTGCGAGGGCTTTCTCTAGTTGTGGCAAGCAGGGGCCAGTCTTCATCGCAGTGCGTGGGCCTCTCACTATCGCGGCCTATCTTGTTGCGGAGCACAGGTTCCAGACGCGCAGGCTCAGTAGTTGTGGCTCACGGACTTAGTTGCTCCGCAGCATGTGGGATCCTCCCAGACCAGGGCCTGAACCCGTGTCCCCTGCATTAGGAGACAGATTCTCAACCACTGCGCCACCAGGGAAGCCCATTAAGTTGTGGGCCATTTTAAATATTGCTGTATTATATCTAATTTAATACTTTGCTCATGGGTTTCCTTTTACATTTATAAAAGGTTTTATAGAAAGATTTTTCACTGTTGTTATCCAGACAGCAGTCCTTTTAGGTACGTAAAGGCAGAGATATTTCTGTTTTATAGCTGGGGATTTGTAGGGCTAGATTAGTTAGACCGAGTTTACATAAGCAGTTAGTGATAGATCCAGATGGAAACCCAAGTCAGGATCATGATTCCTAGTTTAATTTTCTTCGTATAAAACCAGAGTAGTTTCTGAAAAAATTTTCTGGTAACAGTCTATAATGAAATCTTTCGCTAATTCACTGACCTTCCAAATTAGGATGATTTTAGGCAATATTTACATTGGATCACATCCTTTTTTCCAGTTTATTCCAATTCCTCAGTTTTTCCTCTAATCCTCAAAACTTGACAACATTAATTCTGCCAGTGGGCATGGAGTTTCTACTGACACTTGGCCCTGTAGTAGCTTGTATTGGCCATGCGAGATGTAGTTCCTATTCCTTTAGGAGATTACAGTCACACATTTGTGCTAGGATGGAAATCCAAATGCCCGTTAGTGGGAGCAAAGGGAGGTATTTGGTCAGCTCTACATTAAAGTGTCAGGAGTGGGCTTACAGTCTCTTTGAACTGATTTCTGAGAACAAGGTAGGTGATGGTTGTAAAGATGTGCATAGGACAGAGCTTTCCAGACTGTACAATAAACCAGCTATAAAAAATTCAAGTGGTGGAGGCTTTATGGAGTGCCCAGGTTTTTCAGGTAAGGATATTACCTGAAGTGCCATCTACTTTATCATTTTATAAAGATAGGACATTTAGTGAGCAAAGCCGTAGGCAGAAAATAAGCTCAGAATAATTCGAATAGATTATTTTCAAAAATTGAATGAGTATAGCTTTATGAAGAATTCATTTAGTTTTCCTCGATTTTCTGTTCCTCTGCATACCTGTAAAAACTGTTATTGACTGGCATTGGGTTATTGGAGAGAATATGTTTTGAATTGAGAGCTAAGGAGAGGAAGGAAAAGGGAATTTAATGAGTTCTTACTACATGCTTACTTACTTTTAACCCTCACAAGAGCCCTGTGAGACAAGTATTATCCCTTATTTAAAGATGAGGAAACAGACTTAGTGGTTAAGTAACTTACCCAACTCACTCAACTAGTAATTAGGGGAGCCCGAATTTTTAACGTTTAGAATTTGTTTCCTTTCTGAAGCCCATGTTTTTTGCATTACCTTACTGGTTCTGCTATTTACTACTAGCTATATGATTTTACGCAGAACATTTCACCTGTGGATCATAGGTTTTTCTATCTGTAAGTTAGTTTGAGCAGATAGTTGTTAAGGTTTCTTCCCTGAGTGTAAATCTCCCTCGCTTAAATGAAAGCATTGTCTGACCGAGGAGAGAAAAAGTAAAAACTTATTTGGGGTAATAGTATTTGAGTTTTTGTTATGCAGTTTTTCATATCTGCTTCTGAACTTAATATCTAGTCTTTAAGTGGCACACAGCTTCAAATCAGTTTGAAGCCAGGCTGTAAGTATGATTTTAAGTTGTAGAATGTCTGAGGCAGAAAATCGGTTTTTTTAAAATTGTTTACATGATACTCTTTTCTTTTTTTATAAATTTATTTATTTATTTTTGGCTGTGTTGGGTCTTCATTGCTGCGCGCGGGCTTTCTCTAGTTGCGGCAAGTGGTGGCTTCTCTTGTTGCGGAGCAAGGGCTCTAGAGCGCAGGCTCGGTAGTTGTGGTGCACAGGCTCAGTTGCTCCACCGCATGTGGGATCTTCCCGGACCAGAGCTCGAACCGGTGTCCCCTGCATTGGCAGGCGGGTTCCTAATCACTGCGCCACCAGGGAAGTCCCAGAAAGTCAGTTATAAATTCTTTTAAAATATGGGAGATACCATGTTACTGATTGTTACTATTTGTTGATTATGTGTATCCTGTTCTATGTAGGTTCCTTGTTGAATCTGCTAGGCATCAGACAATACACACTTATAGGTCACTTGGGAACTTTTATAATCTTACTGTAGAACAGTGTTTTTCCAAGTGTGTTCTGTGACCCATTAGTGGGTCATGGAATCAATTTTGTGGGTCAGAAATAACATTAAAAAAATGAGGGAACTTCCCTGGTGGTCCAGTGGTTAAGACATGGGCTTTCACTGCCGTGGACCTGGGTTCGATCCCTGGTCGGGGAACTAAGATCCCACAAGCTGTGTGGTGCAGCAAAAAAAAAAAGAAATGGAAAAGTAAATGATAGAGTACATCACAGATGAGGGAGGGAAATATTGTTTCCTGAAATTTGTTTGAAGTGTTTGTGGTGTGTGTGTCTGGATTGTGCTATATTTCATACTAAAGGTCATGGTTAAACATGTTTGAAAAAACACTTCTTTGGGGCAGCATTTCTCAACTGCAGCACTGTTGACATTTTGGGCCAGACGGTTCTTTGTTATAGGGGCTGCTATCCCGGGCATTGTAGAATGTTTAGTCCGTCCCTGCCATTGACCCGCTAAGATGGCAGTAGTGCTTCTGCAGTCTCTAAACCTTGTCCATTAGTTCCTGGGGGGCAAAATCGAACCCCTGGAGAGAACTAATATTTTAGAGCAAGCATTCTTTCTGACAATTTACTCTGTTGGCTCTGAAGAGATAGCTTTATGATTAGGACTAACATTGCATCTTGTGGAAGGTAAGTAGGTTTTATAGTCATAGAGAGTTGACCTCTGTTTTGTTGTCTACCAGTTGTATGATTTTGGGTAAGTTATTTTCTCTGAGCTTCAGGGTTTTCACCTATAAAATGGGAATTATAACATCTACTTCCTAGGATTGTTGTTAAGAATTAAATAATATCTAAAAATATTTAGTATAGTACCTAGCACGCTCTAGGCCTCAGTATGTCCCAGATATTATTAGGGTCTAGGTTTATTTTTTTTCTCAATCAAGTCTCTATGATTGAATAACTTTCTAGAGGTAAACAATTTAAAAAAATGATTCATATACACAAATTTTTTAAAAGTTAAACTGTGTATGCTCAGGTTATTCTTTTCACTGCTAAATTTACTGACTTTAGGTACCAGGTTAAAAACAGTTGCTCTTTTCAAGTGGAGAAAAACTGACCTGGGTAGATAAGGACTTCTAATGATAGTTTTGTTTGGGTTAAATATAGGAATAACAGAAAAACCTAAGTAGGCTTATATATGTTATATTCCGTGTTCTTTAAATATGTTAACTTATTAAATCATCACAAGAACCCTATTAGGTAGTTAATATTATTAGCCTTATTTTACAGATGAAGAAATTGAGTGAGGTACATAGCAACTTAGTGACTTGATGGCAGAGATGGATTCACACCTAAGCAGTCTGGCTCCAGAGTCAGCACTTTTAACCACTCTGCGGGATTAACTCTATGCATAATGGAGAGTCCTTTTGTCTAATTTGGTTCTCAGTCTGTAGCATGAACCTGGCCTTTACCTTAGCTTGTTATTAAATCCGAAGGATTTTCTAATAGTCCAGTGAGACTGTATGCAGAACTTCCTGGATGTGTTTTATGATGTTATTTTCCATAACTCACGTGAGGACATTATTTAGTTTTTTGCCATCCTTTTTGTTTTAAAAAATTTTATGGCCATTATTAATGCTTAATTTACCTCTTATTTCTACTGACTTATTTTTAACTTTTTTTTTAATATAATGCCACACGATAGTATTTGCTGAGATTAGCCACTAGTGGATTTTGTTGTGATTTTGTGTGGCATTTCTTAGGATAAAATCTACAACCTTGGTTTAACCAAATCCATCCTGTCTGTTATTTTTGTATGGCTCAGGAGCTAAGAACGGTTTTTACATTTTTAAGTAGTTGGAAAAAGTAAAAAGAATAATATTTTATGACATGTGAAAGTTACATAAAATTTAAATTTTAGTGTCTGTAAATAAAATTTATTGGAATACGGCCACAGTCATTCATATGACTACTTTTGTGCTACAACAACTGAATTAAATAGTTGCTACAGACAGTATACCTCACACACAAAAAACTTAATATATCTGACCCTTTACAGGAAAAGTTGCTAACCCCTGTTGTATTGGGTTGGCCAAAAAATTTGTTTGGGTTTTTCCATAACATCTTACAGAAAAACCGGAACAAACTTTTTGGCCAACCCATAGATAATTTATTTATTGTGGTTACAGTTCGTTGTCTTATTTCACTAGATTGTAAACTCTGTAAAGGCAGAGATGTCTGTTTTGTTCACTGAGGTATCCCAAGTACCAGAAACAGTGCCTGGCTTATAATAACTGCTCATTAAATATTTGAATAGGGTAAAAAAACCCCATGAATTTATACAAATGAATGATTAATTTTCAAAGTAATGCTAGCAAATGTTTATTTAGCACCAGTTCATTTAAATCTCACAGCAACCATATGAAGTACAGGCGGTTTTATTATTCCCATTTAACACCAGGAAGAAACTAAGACATTGAAGGAGAAAAGTAGCTTACCCAGGGTTACACAGCTAAATAAATGGTAGGACTGGACCCTAATCCTAGAGAATCTGGGTCTAGGTCTGGTTTTCTGTAAATGACTCATACCCAATCCATCTGCCTTTTACAGTAGATCATTGGTTAAATTATATAGTGGAATAGTCTTGCTTTAGGAGTTTGTTGTCTTTTCTGATGCTTTGTCATGAGCTGACTGTTCCTGCCCAGAACAGGCAATTAAGACACCTTAGACTCTTCTCCATTTTAGGAATACTACATCAGACTTTACAGAACAAGTCTAGGAAGTATGGTGTTTGTAGCTTCTTTTTCTCCATTTACTGTCTGTTGTTTTTAACCTAATCAGATTTTTCCTCTTAAAATGAATTTTGAAACTGGAATTGACATAATAGAAGATAGATTTAATATGACAGTGGAGGTAATAGAAGGTTTGAATATTACTTTGAACTTCATCTTGAATCGAGTTTCCCGATAATATATATGCTTTGAACATGAGAATTTAACTTGACATTAAATGTAAAAAAATAAAATTATATCAGAATAGTCATTTTCTCTTGTTGAATAGTAGAATTAAAGAAAATGACAGTGTATATATTTCTTTATATTTTCATTGATTTTTATCTTTCCTTCAAGTGCATTTACTTTCTCATGCCCCGATGTACAAGTTTTTCACATTGTACTATTGCAGTGCTTCCACTCTAGGAAGTATGTGATCCTTGTATAAACTGCTAAGTGTTTTCCAAAAAAAAAAAAATTCTTATAAAATTATCTAATAATGTTCTAGTAGCTTAGTCAGTGTTTTCTGAACAGATCAGACTCATCTTGATATTAAAGTTTAAACAAATTATAATAGAAAGTTTTTGAATTTTTTACATTGTAAAAGTAGTATAATAGCATAAAGAACATTTGAACAAAGAAAAAAGTGCATCACATTATCCTAACACAGCTCTTTTAATGTTTATATGTAACTTTATGGAGTATCTGTATTTAGTATGTGCACAGAGTAGTGGAATTTTAGGTTTCGAGGGAGTCTGGTTTAATCTCTTTTATTTAAAGAAACTGTTTTGTTGGTGCGTACATCCTTTCCTTCAGAATTCAAACCAACATCTTCCTGGCCTGGGGTACTTTTTATTATACCATTATAACTTGTTTTTTATGATTTCCTTTCCTACTTTAACAAAGTATAAGGGAGGTATTTTGATACGTACAAAACTAGATAGGAATGCATTTGAGTATTTCCTATTGGTGCATATTTGCATGTATTTATTATGCCTTTCTTTTTAAATTTTTATTCAGCTTTCTAAAACCAACTTTTCCAACAACAATGATTTCCGTGCTCTTCTGCAGTCTCTGTATGCTACTTTTAAGGAGTTCAAAATGCATGAGCAGATTGAAAACGAATACATTATTGGTTTGCTTCAACAACGCAGCCAGACCATTTATAATGTGCATTCTGACAATAAACTCTCTGAGATGCTTAGCCTCTTTGAAAAAGGTCTGAAGAATGTTAAGGTGAGTTGCAAAAATGGATATTTATCACAGCTTGTGCCATCTTCTGATATGTCATTGGCAAAACTTGTTAGCATTTTATAGTAAATGATGTTACTATAGTATAGTAAATGTATGTTAAAGAAAAAAAATTATTCTGACACTTGTTAAAGATGGTAAGGAAGACTTTATTCAAGGGATTACTGCAATGGGGTTTTGCAGTAGGAGAGAGAGATTGGGTTGAATTCTTATAGCCAGGGAGCAGACGTGAGGGTCAGGAAAATTACTAAGAGGAAACATCAAGGCTGGGAGATTCTTGCTAGACTGACTCTTGCTTCCTTTTGCTGAAGGCATACCAAGGTGACAAGATATTGAGGGTGGTTAGATATTGAGGGTTATCAAATGCCAAGGGTGGTAGTGGTGGGGTTGATAGACTGATTCAGGATGATTTTGGTAAAACTGGACTAAGTGGGCCAAGGACAGAGCTCAAGGTCAGGGCCTGGCTGAGAAGACTCAGTGGATCCTGGCTCAGGTTTGATGAGAATCTTTATCAGTTACCTCTTTGTTACCATATGTAAAATTCTATCATGAATGCTGCTCTCCAAATCTTAAAGGTGTTTTTGTAAGTTGAAATTTCAATTACTGTACAAATTTTACTTTCTGATAACATTTGCTGAACTCTTAAAAGAAATCTGTAGTAAATGCAGTTATTGGTGACTAAAGGTAGAATTGTTACTTAGAATGAACAGGGCCGTAGGGGTGGTTACAAAGAATAATTTTTAGTTGTATGACGTAAAATTAAAGATATTTTGGGGTGTAGTTTAGGATAATGGTGTAGAGAAATTTCCCTATTAATTATATTTACGTATTATAGGATATTTGGTCTTCATTTGTCCCCCTTTTGGCTTGGTGAAACATAGACTTAAGTTGTAACTCTGTCAAACCACCATGAACCTTTCATTGATAGATTTGTGTTGTAGAAAGACTGTTCTTAAGTAGGGAAGATGATGGATTGAAGGGAAAAAAAAGACTCAAGTAGGAAGATTGTTATAAAAAAATTATTGTAATAGTCTCCAGAAGAATATACAGTAGCTATTTGGTGGGGAGGTAGGAGATTGGGTAGGGATAGGGTACTGGGAGGGAAGATGGTATAGGAAGATTTATTTTTTATTGAATACTCCTTTGTACTGTTTGAATTCCATATCATGTTCATGTATTACCTATTCAATAAAATGATTAAGATCAGAACTGAAGTAGTAACTAGTGGAGACAGAAGGGAAGGGACAGACTTGAAAGTAATATAGGACATAAAATTGATAGAAGGTAGTGCTTGCATATACAGGAAGGAGGAAAGGAGAAAGAGAAAGGAAATAAGAGTGAGAATTGAGCTTGACTTTCTAGGGAATATAGAAGAGGCTAAAAAGATCCATTATGGGCAGGTTGAGTTTGAACTGCTTGTGCAGTCCAGGTGGGCATTTATAAGTAGGAGGTGGCATTAGTTGCGCTTCAAGGTTGGAAGGGTAATTTGGTTTGGAAAAGCAAATTTGATAATTATCAGCATGTAAGTAGAAATGGAAGCCACTTGGGCATGCTTAAGGAAAATGTGTAAAATCCTAAGAGAATAGGACATTGGATAGACTATTGGGAAGCAGTTTAATAAATTAGTTAAAAAAGGAGGAGACTAGAGAGGACTCAGCAGGGTTAAGATATTCCCACATTTTAAAAGTTTCATTATTTTGTGAATTTTCCACATGTACTAAGTTGAGAGGGCTGATACAGAAGTGATGGATAAGTTACAGGGAGATATGACCATAGTTCATATGGGGAAGAACTCTTTAGCTGTTGTGCAGAGTTAGAATGATTTACCTCAAGGTACAGTGAGCTCCTTGCCTTTAGAAGTGTAGATGGTCTTCTTCAGGATAATGTAACAGGTATTCTGAATTGTTTAGTAGAGGATACACTAGATGACCTTAAAGGGATTCTGTAATGATATAGTCCAATGGGCACTTGTGAACTGCTCAGAGGTATATTAATTGGAAAACGGACACATTGAAATTGTATAAATGTGCATTAGAAATCAGTAGAAGTTTTGATCAAATACTTGCTATTTTTAGACTTTTTATGACATTTTTAAAAAGAAGTATGAGATCACATTACTAAAGGAATTAAAGGTTCTTTTAAGAGATGTTTTGAGGCCATCTTTTATACTTAGAAAAGTACAGAGACCATTTTGCTATTTGTTAGTCTAATTTTTTACCCTGACGTTTCAAGTTACACTTCACACTGACTTTCTAGGATCAGATACAGTATAAATTATGAAGCGAAATTTTTATAGAATACAGTTTTTTTGTTTGTTTCTAGAATGAATATGAGCAGTTAAATTATGCAAAACAGTTGAAAGAGAGACTGGAGGCTTTTACAAGAGATTTTCTTCCTCACATGAAAGAGGAAGAGGAGGTAAGCATAACTTTTCCTCTTCGTGATTTTGCTTTATAAAATTGGAGAAATGTTATTTTTCCTTTGAGTCTTCAAAATAATACATAGGAAGATAAACCTCCAGATCTTTTTAGAAAATGAAGAAAAACCCAAGGAAAAAAAGCATTAATTTTGTTTCCTTAGAGAGTTTGTTGCTTTTCATTGACTGAGTGATTGATTTAATTCATTTACTCAAAAGATATTTATTCTCTTATTATGTGGATGGCACTGTATTGATTGTTAACTTTTTATGCTACCCTAATGTCTTTTCTGAACCTTTAGAAGATCCTTTAAACTTTTTAATGTTTTCTGTATTTGCATTCTAAGTTTAAAGAATTTTTAGTGTTCTTTTTTTAGTAGTGGATTTTAGTAATTAAATGGTGGTGTTAAACTTATCAGTCTTATAACTAGTGCACATGTATTAGGATATCCCTGAAGTGGATGAGCAAAACATTTTCTCATTCTCTTCTTTCTCTAAAGTGGGATGAGTATCAGGGTAAGGAATAGAAAAAATATTTTATGAGGAACTGGATTCTTGTTCAGCTGTAAATCAGTTATTATAGTGATTCTCACTATAAAAAAGCTTTACCTTATAATCAGATGGCCATTTAAAAAAAATCTACTTTTAAGCCCTTTCCAGACCAATTAAATCAGGTGGGAGATAGAAATGGACATGGATATATTTTAAAGGTTCCCCAAGTCATTGTAATATGCAAATATGCAACCAGCTGTGAAACCACTGAGTTACCAGAGCAGTGTTTCTTAACCTGTGATGCACATCAAAATTATCTATGGAGCAAAGAAAAAAAAAAAAAAGCCCTTGGCTCCACCTCTAAAGATTCTAATTCTGTCAGTTGGAGGTTGGGACTAAGCATCTGTTTCAAGGAAGAAATCTCCTAGATAATATTGAATAGTTGAAGGTATCAGTAGAGCTTTGACTTTTATGGTTGGCAGTATACTGGGTACGGTTCTCATATGATTTAGAGGCCCTGTTTGGGTAGAGGTCAGTTGTTGTAGTAGCAGAAAGCAGTTACCTGACCTAAATGTCTTACCATAGGAGAGTGATTTAGAGTGTATGATAAGCTCTGTACAGGAGGACCTTCTGGTTTGGATGCTTTTAAATTGTTTCGAGAATGAGTGGAGAAGCCATAGAAAGAAGGATCTTGGTGGTGGTATTCTTCTTTGCAATTTTTGGGTAAACTAACTTGGTGGTAACAACTAAATTTTTATGTTTTCCAAATATGTGGTCATAATACTACACTTGAGCCATTAATACTTTAAAAGATGTAGAGTAAAACAAAACTAAGCATATTTCCTTATGAGTATTTTGTTTAATTTAGGTTTTTCAGCCCATGTTAATGGAATATTTTACCTATGAAGAGCTTAAGGATATTAAAAAGAAAGTGATTGCACAACACTGCTCTCAGAAGGATACTGCAGAACTCCTTAGAGGTCTTAGCCTATGGAATCAAGCTGAGGAGCGGCAGAAGTTTTTTAAATATTCTGTGGATGAAAAGTCAGATAAAGGTGAGAGTCATATGTTTAGATAGCTAGCTAGCGATTTATTCGTTCCAAGGCCATTTACTTCTTGTTGATATGACCTTTATATTTTGTTTGAAGAATAATTTAGGCCATTTGTTTTCAAGTATAGTAAATTTAATTGAGGACAGTAGTTTCTATCTTAGAATTTAGTATTGTCTATGATAATTTAACAGCTCATATACTTGGGCCATGTGCAGTATAGTGTTTCTTGAAGGAGTTTATATATATAATAATAATGATAATTTTGATTAGTAAGAATAACTATCAATATTATTTATATATAAATATATAATGATAATTTAATAATATTTTATTATTAATACTTATTATTATTTTGGCCAATCAAAATTATTGAAAACTACCATATAGAGAGCACTTTTGCAGTGTCATCCAATTTTCTGAGCTCCACTGACCATAGTGGCTGTTTTTATCCTTCCTTGTTTTTTCTTTTTTTTAAAAATCAGTTTTCAAAATCATTTAATGCTTATAGTTTTATCTCTACCCTTTCTCATTCTCTTAGCTTATATCCAGGAATACACAGGGGAGTGAGTATGAGAGGCATAGTTTTTCTATGTATAGTTACTTTGAGAAAACAAATGACAAATGTAAATAAAATATCTCTGCTTTTTTTATTGATAGACTACTTCCTCATTTTTATTCTTTCTTTTGTTTGATAGCTTTGCCTTTTAAAACATCATTAAATAAAATTATTGGCATCCTGAGGCTAGTAAAAATTCCTTTGCTTTTGCTAGATGAGAAATAGCAATGGCATTCCTGTTAAAATTGCTTGAAAGTGTTTGAAATTGGTCCTTTTTTCTTATTTTTACTTAATAAAGTAGGTGAGATGCATGTTGGAACAAAATTGTTTTTATAGGTTAAGGTATAATTAAACCCATAAAGCTTGTGTGCTTCACTCTGAAATGCAGCTTGTGCTTTAGACATCAAGTCAGGACCTGTTGTATCTGGTTTAATTTTAATTATAACATGGGACTTAAAAGCATCACACTTACTATATTGAATTTTCCCACTCCTTCAAAGTAAATTATAGCTGTATTATGTTTAAAATATTTGCCATTTGTAAAGGGTTAGGTTAAAGTAATTCATCATAGCATTTCTATATTTAAGTTGCTTTGTGAAGACAAATCAAATATATAAGGTACTCAGATTCTTTTTAGTACATTAATGATGAAACTTTTATATTTTATATTCTTTATTGTACACCTCATTTGCAGTTTTCCTTTGGAAAGTTGCTACTGAAATAACCCATTATAGGAAATTGGATATCCAATAACTGTTTTCTATATTAGCTGCTGACAAAAGATTCCTGATAAATGTATACCAGCATTAGAAATATTTACATTATATTGTCTCAGCTGGCTCATAAATAGGATAAGGTTGAGGCACCTAAATGTTATAGAGGTCAGATTTCAGAGTTCTTACATGAAACCTGAAAATCAAAGAGGGAACACAAGGAACATGCTGACAGGAGTTGTAATGCATGAATGGAAAACGTTGTGAGATTTGTGTGCATCATTAAAAATGCCCTGGATTTCTCATTATTTGACTGACTCTACACTTGCTGACTTAAAGCTGTATAACCTGTTGGGTTCCTTTTTCAAATGATGCTTCTTATGCTACAAAGTGAGTATTGTATTTTCTGCGACGCCTTTGTAAGAGGAAGTAAATCCTGTGTTCATTATTGTAGCTCCCACTGATGAAGTATGATTTGGACCACGATAGTTTAACCCTACAGGTTCTTAACAAGTTTAACATCTCCATGTTACCTCTAATCCATGTTATTTCCTTTTCACATCTTGCAAGCAGGAAGGAGTGGGCTTTAGGCACTGGATTTTATTTATAGAAATGTGATTGTAATTTCTTACTGCATTTGCTCTTAGAGCCTTTTATGTTAAAGGTTTTCTTTTTTATTTCAGAAGCGGAAGTGTCAGAACAATCCACAGGTATAACTCATCTTCCTCCTGAGGTAATGCTGTCAATTTTCAGTTATCTTAATCCTCAAGAATTATGTCGATGCAGTCAAGTAAGCACTAAATGGTCTCAGCTGGCAAAAACTGGATCACTTTGGAAACATCTTTACCCTGTTCATTGGGCCAGAGGTAGGTAAATGGGATGCTTAGTTTGTTTTAAAAATATTTCAATCTGTTTTTTTTTTTTTTTTTAAGTATATACTCATAGACATTAATAAGCAAGGCCAGGGAGGGAAACTCTGAAAGGTTGACTAAAAATAGGTTTCATTAGTTAGATTATATGTCTTTGTATACATTTTTTAAAAGCTAACAATTCTGAAGTATTCATGAGTGAATTATGTGATGTGTGCAATTTCCTTTCAAATAATTAGGAAGAAATAAGTTGGGGATGGAACGAAAAATAATTGGCAAAATGTTGATAATTGTTTTTTCTTCATAAATTTATTTTATTTATTTTTGGCTGCGTTGGGTCTTCGTTGCTGCTTGCGGGCTTTCTCTAGTTGTGGCAAATGGGCTACTCTTCATTGTGGTGCATGGGCTTCTCATTGCAGTGGCTTCTGTTGTTGTGGAGCATGGGCTCTAGGTGCACGGGCTTCAGTAGTTGTGGCTTGTGGGCTCTAGAGTGCAGGCTCAGTAGTTGTGGTGCACGGGCTTAGTTGCTCCGTGGCATGTGGGATCTTCCCGGACCAGGACTCGAACCCGTGTCCCCTGCATTGGCAGGCAGATTCTTAACCACTGTGCCACCAGGGAAGCCCCGATAATTGTGAAGATAGGTGATGAGTACATAGGTGTTCATTATGCTACTTGTTTAATGCTGCTTATTCCTACTTTTGACTATATTTGTAATTTTCCATAACAAAACGTTAAAAATAAAATTAATAGGTTATCAGAACAGCTTTAAATAATTAGATGAGTATTTTAAAAATAAAAAATAAATTAATTCTATAAAATTTAAAGTTGAGTCACTGTTATGTTTCCCTTTTGATAGTAGCTCAAGATAACTAAATGTATTTTTGTCTTTAGCATATTTTTTTGTGATTAATAATGCCTCATTCTATAAATTACAATTTCATATTAGTTAATTTCATTGTGGTAAGTTAGTTTTACATGTGAACAATTAAAGAAAGTTTTGCTTTCATGAGCATATAATGCAGTCATGGGATAAATACAACTAATATGGCATATATTCTTCTGTCACTGAATTAAAAGTTTTTCTAGGTGAGTACCTCAAATTTCACATTAATTGTTTTTAGTTTTTTATAATTTGTCACTTGGACATGGAAATATATATTTTTTACATAATTAAAGTGTGAGTCTGATTTAAAAATAGTTTTATTTTTTATATCAATATGTATCACTTTTAAATAAGCTTTTGTTAGATATATAATATTTTTTGCATGAAGCTATTTGGAGTATTGGGTAGACTTATATGATCCAAATGATTAGAATTATTATTTTTATGTGGAATAATTTTTCTTATTGTAGGATAATATATTAAGTGAAAAGTCAGATAAGGCAGGTATGGATATATCACATACTTTTTTATTAGATGTATTTTTGATTATGAAGAATTACTTATTAGGTAGTAATACATAATTAGGTACTGTTTGATATAAAGATCAAATATGATAATGCTATGCTAGATTTCTGTGAAGTTAACCAGATATTAAATATGCTGCTTTTTTTTCCTGTTTTTAATATGCGTAAACAAAAAGTTCCAATAAAAATGGTTGTAATTTAATTTATTTATGGTATTTGTTTCCTGTGATTCTTGATCACAATTGATTTGACCCCCTGCAGGGGATGTTTTGAAATGCCTGTGGAGGCATTTTTGTCCCATCTTGGAGTATTACACTGGCATCCAGTGGGTAGAGGCCAGGGTTACTGCTAAACACCCTGCAATGCACAGGGAGGCACTCCACAACAAAGAATTACTCAGCCCAGAATATCAATGGTGTTAAGGTTGAGGAGCCCTCACTTAGATGTAACGTTAGGAATTCAATAAATTAATTCTGCATTGTCTTGCACTTCACAATCATGTAATTTAATCGCAGCGTATTCTCCAGGATCTTTAAATTTATGGTTTAGCTTTACCTTAATCTTTCCCTTTTTCTGTTCCCACCTACTTCTGAATTGCTAATTCACTACTGAGCAGAAAGTCTTGCTTCCTTTTGTTTATTAGCAATTGTGTTAATGCGGGTATTGCTGGAGCCAGTGTGAAGCCACAGTAGGTAAAAAGGTTAGGTTGTTTTCAGTGATTTCTGAAATTTCTTGTTAAGACTGTTGATAATTATTTTTCATAGTTTTTTGGTATGTCTGAAATTGAATTCTGTGCTTATTTAAATGTAATTTTTTAAACCACAATTGTTTCTAACAATAGGTGGCTCATTGTGTATGGCTCACATATTTTTTGTGTGCAGACATTTTTGTTATAAATAGGTTATTTTTTTGTAATGGTAGCCGATCTAATCTTATTTTGTTCCTTTTGTTTTTTTGTTGAGTAGGTGACTGGTATAGTGGTCCTGCAACTGAACTTGATACTGAACCTGATGAGGAATGGGTGAAAAATAGAAAAGATGAAAGTCGTGCTTTTCAGGAGTGGGATGAAGATGCCGATATAGATGAATCTGGTAAGCTGTGTCTGGAATTAAAACTGTTACATGGTGCTTTAATAATTACTGTTACATTAACAAGTACTTAGGTGCTAGGATTTATGTATTTTGTGTTTTCTAAAAAACCTGGTGTTTTTAAGCCTACTGCTTTCTAAACTTTCATGGAATAGTAAGCGTATTTAAAATTCTGTTTAAAGTAATTTTTAAATGTGTATAGGCTTGTTTCCCATATGTTTTTTTTTTTAACAGATTTATTTATTTATTTATTTTTATTTATTTTTGGCTGTGTTGGGTCTTCGTTGCTGCCCGCAGGCTTTCTCTAGTTGCAGCGAGTGGGGGCTGCTCTTCGTTGTGGTGCATGGGCTTCTCATTGTGGTGGCCTCTCTTGTTGTGGAGCACGGGCTCTAGGTGCACGGGCTTCAATAGTTGTGGCGCGTGGACTCAGTAGTTGTGGCTCATGGGCTCTAGAGCGCAGGCTAAGTAGTTGTGGCACACGGGCTTAGTTGCTCCGCAGCATGTGGGATCTTCCTGGACCAGGGCTCGAACCTGTGTCCCCTGCATTGGCAGGCGGATTCTTAATCACTGTGTTATCAGGGAAGCCCTCCCATATGCTTTTATATTTATTTAAATGCTTTAAAAAAATCAGAAAATGATGACTGTTTTCCTTATTGAAATAATATACATTCATTATAGTGCTATGCAGTTTACAGTGTGTTTTTAGGGCCACTTTATTTGATCAGCTCAGTAGTATATATTGAGTCGTCTGTGGCCCAGAGGAAGGAGCATAACGCTGTTGAACCTGTTTGTTTATTTGTAAACAGTCATGCCACTTGCCTCACATGGTGGTTATAGAATTAAGTAATATATATGAAGATTCTTTGTAAATGGTAAGGGATTATATAAACTGGTGTAGCCATTCATTAAGCACCGTGGGAGAATTCAAGGGTGACAAAGACTTTATCCCTACCCTCAAAGAACTCACAAATGGGAGAATTTAGAATACATGATTCTTAATCAAGGTATGTATTGGAAAATGCTGTAATGAAGGTGCAGAAAGATGCTGTTTGGGAATATGGAGGAGAAAGACACAAATTCTATCTTAGATGTTACTTTAGATAATGATTAATTATTAAAAGATGATGAAAATAGTAAAAAAAAAAAAAAAACTAATAAGATATTCTTCTACTTCGTAAAACTGAACCTGTAGGAATTTTTTATTTATAAGTTGCCCACTTATAGTAAGCTGGTCTGGCAAAAGAACTAAACTTGTGGAAAGTAAGGAATATAAATACAAAGATTATTGTTTTAGCAGCAAGTTTATTTTTATGAAATGAAGGTGCAAAACACCTTGGTATAGTTTTAAATGTTTGGAAGCTGTCATGTAAGGAGGAGGTCTATTCCAGTTACATTTGGTGATTTGCTTATCCTGTGGCAGGCACTTTCTGGGCATGAGGTTAACAGTGAACAAAATGGGAAAAAAAAAATCCTTGGCTTTGTTTAGCTTAAAATTTGGAGGGGGAGGCAGACAGTAAAGACAGGCAAAATATATACTGTATTAGATAATGTTAAGTGCTGTGGAGAAAAATAAAGGAAAAGCGTGCCAGGAAGAGAGGAAAGAAGTTACCATTTTCAATAGATTGAGTAGTTAAGGTTCCTTGAGAAATTTGAGCAAAGACCTCAAGGAGTTAAGGTCTTTACTCAGATGTCACCTTAGGGAAGACTTGATTTATCCATTCTAAAAAATCAATTCATAATACCTGTGTTGAGTTTTAAAGGCTTTATCAAACTTAATGTGTTTATCTCAGCACTTAAAGATAGACAAAGAGACTGCTGCTGTTTTCTTTCATATTGAGAGGGAAAGGTTAAGGTTATAATGATGGAGCCTTTCTAAGGTAATATATGTGTTTAGCTGTTTAGTGTATCTAAGAGTAAACTTTGGATCTGTCATCTATGTTAGTGCTTTTTCAGCTTAGCTGTCTTTACTAGTCTTGTAGAGAAGTTATTATTCTTCATAGGATGTTTAGTTTTCTTTTTCTTAGGATTTCACAGTAAACAGTACACATTTAGATAGAGAGAGCCGCAGAAACAAAAGAATCATTTGGAAATAAAATTTTAGTAGAATAAATAGCGTTCACTAAAAGTCACTTTTATCCCTGTATTTCACATATATGTCTAACTAAAGGAGGAATTTAGAATAATATCTGTAAACATGGAAACAATCAAAAATTCAGAATTATTGTTTCTATTTATATTCCTTTTGTCAGCTACACTCAGTTTTGTTTTAAATGAGACTTCCTCAGCTTATCCTGTTAAACTGTTTTATGTTTGGAGACATTTGAGTTAGATCTTCGGGTAAGCAAAAAAGCAATAGGATCCTGAGAAAGGTGATAAAATTATTAGTTCATTCTTTTTCGTGTAGTGTGTTTTTTTCCTTATATCAAATTGGAGTTTGTAGGGTTTTTTTTTTTTTTACTTGTTACAGTAGTGCATCCTGTTATACACATCTAAACTCTACAGAAGTTATTAAGCAGAAAACAAAAGCCATGCTCATTTTTAATTTCTTTAAAGTTCTAAGGTACTTTTCGTTGCTTGATTCATTATGACCAGCCTAACTTAATTGTTTCAAATCTCTTCTAGCTCTGTGTCCCTTTTATTGATATTTATGTAAAATAATGAATGATACTTTTTATTATTTTTATTATGGTTCATTTTCCTCTTGATATCCTATATTCTCTTGAAGAACTTACACTATTCTTCAAGTAGTCAAAGATTTTTCCAAAATTTTTTCGGTGCCTGAAACTGGAGTTATTTTTATCTTTTCTCTGATAATTAGCTTGAGAAGAAAATTACCTTCAGCCTTGAAGCATGTTAAAAAATTCTTCCTTTCATTCCCATTTAAACCTTTTTTCTTTTTCTTTTGTCTCTTTTTAGTTGATGTCAGACCTGTTAATATAAATATTAAGTCCTGGCGAATGAGGACTTGTCCATTTAATTTGCTTTGCATATATAGGGGAGTTTAAAAGGAGAGCAAAATGTATTTCATATTTAATGATTTGGTGATTCCTTGAGTAGCCTAATCATAATTAGTGTATCAAGTTCTTAGACTTTTGAATTCATTTTACAGAAGAGTCTGCAGAGGAATCGATTGCCATCAGCATTGCACAAATGGAAAAACGTTTACTCCATGGCTTAATTCATAATGTTCTACCGTATGTTGGTACTTCTGTAAAAACTTTAGTATTAGCGTACAGCTGTGCAGTTTCCAGCAAAATGGTATGTATAAATTAGCACTAGTTTAGGTATTAAGAAAAAGTAGCAACAATCTACATTTTGTTTGCTTATTCCTGAGTTTAATTTAAAAAAAAAATAACAGTTTACCCATGAGTGTACCTTCCCATGGGTAGGCATACACTGCTAATTTTCATCTTTTTTCATTTCAGTTCTCATAGTAATCTTTGTACATAGATATCATTGTCTTCATATTATAGAAAAGGAAACATAGACTGAGAGGTTAAACAGTTTATTTAGTTTCACAGATGTTAAGTGATAAAGCCCAGTTTTATATGATTGTTTATAATGTGTAAGGCATGGTAAGATGGGCAGGTGAAATTAAATCATGGTTTTATAAAAGACTATCTTGTGATATCCTACATTAGAATCTTCTTGGGTATTCCTTAAGAATGTAAATTTCCTGGGTCTAGTCTTAGAATTACTGAAACAGATTTTCTGGGATTTCATCACAATATATATTTGTAAGGCAGAATTGAAGTGATTTTTACATGCAGAAAAGTGTGAGAACCACTGGTTATATTACTTACTAAAAATTATATATTATTTACTAAAAGTTATGTCTCTAACCTAACTAAATTCTGCAGATCTTCACAGTGACTTTTTTTTCCCTCTTAGGTTAGGCAGATTTTAGAGCTTTGTCCTAACTTGGAACATTTGGATCTTACCCAAACTGACATTTCAGATTCTGCATTTGACAGGTTAGTTAATTTTGAATATATAAATTTAATGATTTCTTAACTATGAATCAGTAGAATTGTTCTGTAGTTTTTCATTTACATAATTACAGTTTAATCATACTATTACTTTCTACTATCATATTTTGGTCATGTTATGGTAGTAGCACCCTCCAATTCTTTGCTTTTGTCCTTAGGTCCCAGCTGATTCAAAACTTATGTATGTATCATCCTATCACCTTTATAATCTTGTACTGTGTCTAGGCTTTTGAGCCTTGCTGTGTAACCATGTAGCTTGGTACTGTGTTTTAAAGAAGTTTTCATTTTCAGTTGGGCTCCCAGTACCATTTGGCAAAGCTCCCTCTTCATAGTTATTCTAAAATTTTAACACTTTCTTCAAGCAACCCTCAGATTTTATTTCTTTGGATGCTGCTACTTTCCTTCTTATTCTACCTCGCCCTGCTGTTTCCCACCCTAGCATTTATATCAGCACCTCTTTTCCAATTTCAGAGGGAGAAATGTATTCTTCTCTGGCTAAGGCTAATTCTCTACTAATTCCTAGAGCTTGTTCTACTGAATCTTTCTCCTCTAATTATTATTTTCTTTCTTTCATGTCTGTAGAGCCTTTCCTCTATTGGTTATTTTTCAGGATGAAAAACAGTCTCTCCCTTCCATACCCTTCTCCTTTCCTACTCTTCTTTTGGGTTAGCAATACTCTTAGTTCCTCATTACTCTTATTGTCTTTTCATATTCCTAGCATTTAAAGTAGTGCCTAACAACAGATATTCAGTAAATGATTGATTATATTAGATTTAAAATCTTTCTTGTAGTTTCCATTTACTTACGTATAATCAAATCTTTTGAAGAATTTAACAATATCCACTAATAGTTTTGTTACCTCTTAATTATAGTTGGTCTTGGCTTGGTTGCTGCCAGAGTCTTCGGCACCTTGATCTATCTGGATGTGAAAAAATCACAGATGTGGCTCTAGAGAAGATTTCTAGAGCTCTTGGAATTTTGACATCTCATCAGAGTGGCCTTTTGAAAACTTCAACAAGCAAAATTGCTTCGACTACCTGGAAAAATAAAGACATTACCATGCAGTCCACCAAGCAGTATGCTTGTTTGCCCGATATAACTAACAAGGGCATCGGAGAAGAAATAGATAATGAACACCCCTGGACTAAACCTATTTCTTCTGAAAATTTCACTTCTCCTTATGTGTGGATGTTAGATGCTGAAGATTTGGCTGATATTGAAGATGCTGTAGAATGGAGACATAGAAATGTTGAAAGTCTTTGTGTAATGGAAACAGCATCCAATTTTAGTTGTTCCTCCTCCGGTTGTTACAGTAAGGATATTGTTGGACTAAGGACTAGTGTCTGTTGGCAGCAGCATTGTGCTTCTCCAGCCTTCGCGTATTGCGGTCATTCATTTTGTTGTACAGGAACAGCTTTAAGAACTATGTCAGCACTCCCGGAGTCTTCTGCATTGTGTAGAAAAGCATCAAGGACTAGATTGCTTAGCGGAACAGACTTAATTTACTCTGGGAGTGAAAAAACTGATCAAGAGACTGGGCGTGTACTTCTGTTTCTCAGTCTGTCCGGATGTTATCAGATCACAGACCATGGTCTCAGGTAAGTAATCTGTTGCAGAGTATTAGGAAATGAGCATGTTCTCATTCTCAAATGGAGTGGAAAATTTTGAATCTAAGTCATTCCTTTCAGCTGATTTATTTAACCGAAAGAGTTAACCACTTCAAAGAGTTGTCCTACTGCAAAATTTTGGAACGATAAAACTTCAGCATGAAGTTTCAGTCAGTTCAATTGCTTTGTAATGTGGAAGAACATAAATTTAAAAGTTTAATAAATACTTACAACACAATAAATACATGCAACACATTTTCTAAGGTGCTTTAGTGGATGTAAAGATGAATAAGATACAGTTTTTACCCTCTAGGACTTGTAACAGAAGAAAATATGTACACTATATTCTGTGTATTATTTGTGTACATCCTTTAAGGGATGTTGAATTAAAGATTCTATGGGGATCAAAGGAGAGAGAGAGAGACTTCTCATCCAGTTGCAGCAAATGATCAGAAAATGTTATGAAGAGGAACTTCCCTGGCAGTCCAGTGGTTAAGACTTTGCCTTCTGATGCAGGGGGTGTGGGTTCGATCTCTGGTCGGGGAGCTAAGATCCCACATGCCTCGTGGCCAAAAAACCTAAACGTAAAACAGAAGCAATATTGTAACAAATTCAATAAAGACTTTAAAAATGGTCCACATCCAAAAAAAATTTTTTAATCTTTAAAAAAAAAAAAGATAAAATGTAATGAAGAGGTGGCCCTTAATTGAACCTTGAAGATGGATGAAGGATTTTGATAGGTGGCAGAGGGAGAAGAGACCATTCCAAGCAGTAGGGATCATTTGAGCCCACGGTAAAGCACTGTTTAACTGTTGTTAGGGTATTTTGCTGTTACGGTTGTTCTCAGCGTTAATAATTGTTTGATTATCTGTGGCATGAGCCTTCAGAAATTGACTTTATGTTTTCTCTTTTACCCTGTAATAGACTTGAATTTTACTAGGGCTCCTTAATAATGGGGTGTCAGGCATGTTAAACAATGAAAATTCATCCAACATAAAGCCTATTACCCCCTCTTGTCTTTTAAGTATGATCTTTAGCAGATTAAATTGAACTCAGTGGGGGATGTTCAAAGGAGTATTCCTGTTTGGTTGTAGAGAAGGATGTGTATTGGGGAATAGTGGGGAATAAGGCTATGACAGAGTTTGAATTCAGGGAAGAATTCATTTGGGGAATGGGGAACACAGGAACTATCTTACTTGATATTATTTGGACTGGTAGCTTATCAAAAAAGCTGCAATCTGAGTGCAGCTCAGATTTTAAAAAGTGCAACTCCTTTTAATCAGATTATCTTGAAGGAGTCTTTCTTAATCATTTAAATATTTATTGAGCATCTGTTGTGTGACTTGCCCTCTTCTGCTGCTCGGGATCCAGAATAAATGACTCAAATTTCCTGCTTTCATAGAGTTTATAATCTAATGGTAGAAATAAGACAATAAAGATGTAATATCAGACTGAATGTTCTGAAGAAAAGTGAAATATGTCTACGGGGTAGAGAATACAGAGAATGCTCCTTCACATTTGATGGACAGGAAAGGCCTTGAAAAGAAGCATTTTTTTAAGTAGAGATTGGGATGAAGTTAGAGAGTGAATTTTCTGTGCATTTCCTGGGAGAGAAGCTAAGGAAATCGAAACTACAAATTTGATTTTTAGAAACAGCTTTCTTCTTGCATTTATTCTGTTGGTTTAAAAAGTATTTCAGTTAACTTAATAAGTTCAGCTGGTGTTCAGGTTTGAGAACAAATACAACTTGTGCAAGCATTCACCTCAACTTGGGGGACCAGAGTTGCTAGTGGGGAGTATTCTGTGTATCCTTCTGTAATAGTCATTATGTTTTATTCAGGGATGGGTAGCATGAATTTTGGCAAGTTGGTTATGGGGCTTGTTAAAAGAGCATTCACTGTAAAAATGTAGGTTGAAAATCAAAGTTTTAAACTAGATTGAAGCCATAGGGAACATATAGTGTAGTGTGTAGTCTTCATGCAGCATTATCTGGTTTTCATAGGAATGAAATAAAATAAATTTTGGCTGTCATTGAGTAGAAGTAGCCTGTTTAAATTTTCAGCCTTCTTTGGCCCCCTCACATTGCCATTATTGTTTCGGTACAAACTATTCCTTTTCTCCTTGAATCCAAGGCAACTGCTCTTGAATCTTTTGCAGATAGCATGTATAGTTGGGTGTTACAGTTAAACATTCTGTCATTTAATCTTTCGGTTTCACAATATGCATTTAATGTAATTACTGATATGGTTAAATTTATGCCTACCATCTTACTGTTTGTTTTCCCCCTGTTTCTCTTTTCTTTATTCTTGTTTTGTCTTTTCCTGACTTGCTTTGGATTTATTAAGTATGGGTTGGCCAAAAATTTCCTTTGGTTTTTAAGTAAAAATAAAAGACATTTTTCATTTTCACCAAGAACGTTATGGAACAACATATTCACTGTTTTGTTCCACCACCTTCTGCCATTTTTGAGGCAACTTCATAATTCCATCTTCCCAAAACTTTTTATCTTTTTGAGCAAAGAACTGTTCCAGGTGCCTTTTAGTGTTCCAGGGAATTGAAATTTTTTCCATTGAGAGAATTTTGTAAAGACCGAACAAAATAATGGAAATCTGAAGGTGCAATGTCTGGTGAATACAGCAGATGAATCAGAACTTCCCAGCCAAGCTGTAACAGTTTTTGCTTGGTCATCAAAGAAACATGCGGTCTTGTGTTACCCTGATGGAAGATTGTGCGTTTTCTGTTGACTAATTCCGGACGCTTTTCGTTGAGTGCTGCTTTTGAGTTGGTCTAATTGGGAGCAGTACTTGTTAGAATTAACCTTTTGGTTTCTGGAAGGAGCTCATAGTAGAGGACTCTGTTCCAGTCCCACCATATACACATCACCTTCTTTGGGTGAAGACTGGCCTTTGTTGTGGTTGGTGGCAGTTCATTTTGCTTGCCCACGACCTCTTCCGTTCCACATTATTGTACAGTATCCACTTTTCATCGCCTGTCACAATTTGTTTCAAAATGGAATGTTTTTGTTACGTTTCAGTAGAGAATTGCATGCGGAAATACAGTCAGGAAGGTTTTTTTCACTTAACTTTTGTGGAACCCAAACATCAGAGCGATTAACATAACCAAGCTGGTGCAAATGATTTTCATGATTTGGATATTTTGAGTATGTCGGCTATCTCCTGCATGGTATAACGTTGATTGTTCTCAGTGAATGTCTTCATTTGGTAGCTATCAACCTCAGCTGGTCTACCTGACTGTGGAGCATCATCCAGCAAGAAATTCCAGCATGAAACTTCGCAAACCACTCACACTTTCGATCAGTCATAGCATCATCTCCATATACTGCACAAATCTTTTTTCGTGTTTCAGTTGCATTTTCACCTTTCTTGAAATAAGAAAGCATAATATGTCGAAAATGTTGCTTTTTCTTCCATCTTCAATTTTTAAGTGGCTACACAAAAATTCACTACTTTTGATAAGTTTTTTTTAAATGCACACTGATATGACAGCTGTCACAAGACAATCTAACAAAATTGTTTCAAATGAACTTAAATATGACTAAGCCCTACTAAAGCCATCTTACGGAAAGTATGAACGAACTTTTTGGCCAACCCAGTACTTTTAGTATCAGTTTTATCTCTACTCTTGGTTAGTATATCATTTATTTAGTGTTTGCTTTAGGGCTTGTATGTACCTTGTAAATAAAATTGTGGTAAAATATACAAACCACAAAGGTTACCATATTAACGATTTTTTCTTAAATTTTATTTTATTTATTTTTCTAAACAGCACGTTCTTACTAGTTATCCATTTTATACATATTAATGTATATGTGTCAGTACCAATCTCCCAGTTCATCACACCACCACCACCCCCCTCGCCACTTTCCCCCCTTGGTGTCCATGTTTGTTCTGTACATGTGTGTCTATTTCTGCCCTGCAAACTGGTTCATCTGTACCATTTTTCTAGGTTCCACATATTTGCGTTAATATGTGATATTTGTTTTTCTCGTTCTGACTTACTTTACTCTGTATGACAGTCTCTGGATCCATCCACATCTCTACAAATGACTCGGTTTCATTCCTTTTTATGGCTGAGTAATATTCCATTGTATGTATATACCACACCTTCTTTATCCATTGGTCTGTCGATGGGCATTTAGGTTGCTTCCATGTCCTGGCTATTTTAAATAGTGCTGCAATGAACATTGTGGTACATGACTCTTTCTGAATTACGGTTTTCTCAGGGTATATGCCCAGTAGTGGGATTGCTGGGTCGTTTGGTAATTCTATTTTTAGTTTTTTAAGGAACCTCCATACTGTTCTCCATAGTGGCTGTATCAATTTACATTCCCACCAACAGGGCAAGAGGGTTCCCTTTTCTCCACAACCTCTCCAGCATTTGTTGTTTGTAGATTTTCCAGTGATTCCCATTCTAACTGGTGTGAGGTGATACCTCATTGTAGTTTTGATTTGCATTTCTCTAATAATTAGTGATGTTGAGCAGCTTTTCGTGTGCTTCTTGGCCATTTGTATGTCTTCTTTGGAGAAATGTCTATTTAGGTCTTCTGCCCATTTTTGGATTGGGTTGTTTGTTTAATATTGAGCTGCATGAGCTGTTTATATATTTTGGAGATTAATCCTTTGTTGATTTGTTTGCCAATATTTTCTCCCATTCTGAGGGTTGCCTTTTCGTCTTGTTTGTAGTTTCCTTTGCTTTGCAAAAGGTTTTAAGTTTCATTAGATCCCATTTGTTTATTTTTGTTTTTATTTCCATTACTCTAGGAGGTGGATCAAAAAAAGATCTTGCTGTGATTTATGTCAAAGTGTGTTCTTCCTAGGTTTTCCTCTAAGAGTTTTATAGTATCTGGTCTTACATTTTGGTCTCTAATCCATTTTGAGTTTATTTTTGTGTATGGTGTTAGGGAGTGTTCTAATTTCATTCTTTTACATGTAGCTGTCCAGTTTTTCCAGCACCACTTATTGAAGAGACTG